TCAGATTCAGAGTTCCAATACTTTATACTGCTTCTGCTGGTCCTACATGATCCTTGGAGGTAGTTCTAGGGATAAAAGGAAGTCAGAGACGTGGTAAAATTCTGAAACTTTAAAATCCCTGGACAGATGTTAGGAATGATTGCCCCAGCCATGGTAAGTCCTGACTCAGCTTCCCTCTTTCTGCCAGTCATCTTTCCTCTAATTGTAAGGTAAGGAGGAGGTGACAAATACTCCGGCCTTTGAAAAGTTTTTCTCCTCTCCATCTCTTTCTTCTCTGAGACTTATTACTAAAGATGGAGAGGACTCCTCCCCAAATCAGGAGAAAAGAGAATGCCTCAAGGCTCAAGAGTAAAGGCCTTGGCCATGATTCCTCCCAGGAATCTGTTAGAAACTATAATCTACAAAGTCCTGGATGAAGAATTCCCCTGGAGAGGAAGGGACCTCCCTTTTGTTAAACACTGGCCTGGGGTCAGTGCTTTACCTATGTTACCTTACGTAAGGTAAGTATTATTATCCCTTATTATTTCCCCATTTTATGTTTGAGAGAATCGAGACTCAGAAATGCCAAGTGACATGTCTAAGAATGCACAACTAATGCATGGTAGAGACACGATTCAAACATAGGTCTGTCAGCCTCTAAAGCCTTTGCTGTTATGGTTACAACCACTGTACAACAGCCTCTGGAAGCCACAGCCACCTGTTCTTGTGCATATCCTGCAAAGTCCCATGGCCATGGAAATCTGTCTCTGATCAGCGATATCTACAGTTCAGAGCCACAGAAGTTTTCTGGGACAGACACCCTCTATTTGAAGCTTTCTTGGTTGGCTTACTTATTTTCTACTTTATTGGTTTATACTTTCTTGGTTCTCTGGCTCAAGAAGACCAACATAGGCTACAAGGAGGTCATGTATGTAAATAACCAGGTGCATGTGTAGGAGAGTGGGGAAGGGTTCAAAAGAAAAGGAAGGGATACATTGTATTTTTCTTTTCTTTTCTTCCTCTCTTATTTGAAGAATGTAGACACTTTACATTGTCATTTATTCTTTACAGTTGTCTTTTATTAATATATAAAAGAACTTTCTACATCTTATAAACATATGTGAGCATATTAATATGCCTAATCTGGTTATTTCATTAAAATGCTTCCCCCCACCACTGAAAACACTAGGGTACACATTTCAAACTGTATCTTTGTTCATATACAAAATTAAAAATTACTTAACACAGATTGTTCTGGGTTCTATCAACCTGTGTAAGTAGGCAAACCTTAGTATTAGAAGAATTTAAACCATGCCAGAGGAATGTTTCTCAAACTTTAACATGTATATGAATAAAATGGGGGATCTTATAATAATACAGCTTCTGATCCAGTGGGTCTGGAATGAAGCCCAAGAGACTACATTTCTAAAATTCCAGCATTATCTCTTAACTTTGTGAGGAGAGAGAGAGAGAGAGTGTGTGTGTGTGTGTGTGTGTGTGTGTGTGTGTGTGTATGTGTGTATGTATTAGAGAAAGAGAGGGAGAATTCTGCCCAATGCTGATATTACCCTTGCCAGCATGTTTCCTTCTAACTTCTAATTGGGTCTGGCACTCACATGTCCTACTCCATCCACTCACGTCAGCCAGCCCAGTACATCCAGGTTACCATGACGTCCTGGCACTTTATTGGAAAAGCCAATTGACTCTCAGCATGGAGATCAGTGGGCATTTCCTCGCCTGTCCCTGTCCCAATTTCCAGCCATCAGATGCTCTAGCAGCCCAGTTGTCCTCCCCATCCCTCCTTGGTCCCAGCCTAGTAAGATGGTCAATTTTCCTGCCTAGTCCCTGACCGCTCCTGTTCCCTGTTCTGACACCTCCAAATACAACCCCTTTACCGTTTTTTCCTTAGGTAGAAGTGACTTCATTGTTTTTGTTTTGTTTTGTTTTAAATCAGCACAGAGGCTGGGAGGAGATGGTTGAGAACAAAGAAAATTCTCCTCTTTACTGCTGGGACTCGTTATGACCTTTAAAGGAATGACTATAGCCTAGCCACAGTGAGCATAACCTAGCCAGAATGTCATTGCCTGATGGGTTCATCTAGCCCACTGCCCAGAAAAGCCGAAGCACTGAGAACAGCAAGTTTTCACAACAGAGAAAGAGTTTAAAAAATGCAGAGCTGACTAAGCAGAAGGATAGGAATTTATTATTACTCATATTAGCCTCTCTGAACATTTGGAGGCTAGGATTTTTTTAAGGGTAGCTTGGCAAGCAGGGGGGCTAGGGAATGGGGAATGCCAATTGGTCCCGTTGAGGGTGAAATCAGAGAGTTGAAGCTGTCCTCTTGAGCTGGGTCAGTTCCTGGGTGGGGGCCACAAGAGCAGATAAGCCAGTTTATCAGTTTGGGTAGTGCCAACTGGTTCATCAGAATGCAGAGGTGGAAAAATACCCCACATACCAATCTTAGGTTTTACAATAGTGATGTTATCTACAGGAGAATTGGGGAGGTTAGGAATCTTGTGGCCTCTGGCCACATGACTCCTGAGCCATAATTTCTATTTTGTTAGTTTTACAAAGGCAGTCTGGTCCCCAAGTAAGTAGGGGGTTTGTTTCGGGAAGGTGCTGTTATTGTCTCTTTTTCTTTTCTTAGTTAGGTTATGAACTAAATGTCTCCTATAGTTAGTTTGGCCTGTGCCCAGGAATGAACAAGGGCAGCTTGGAAGGGCAGCTTGGAGGTGAAGCAAGATAGAGTTGATTAGGCCAATTTTTTTCACTGTCATAATTTTCCTAAGTCAGATTTTTCTCACTGTCATAATTTTTGCCAAGGTGGTTTCAATGATACAAAGCACACTGATATCCCTCACACCATATGGTCTATGCCACAGCCCTGTGAGGCTAAGACAGTAGTAGAACTTACCATTTTACTGATGATAACACTGACGACTCAGAGAGGAGACTGGAGACTTGACTTGTCATGGCCTATCGCTGACAAGTGCCCAAACCTATCCTCTTTCCATTTTATTATTCAAGTGGGATAGCACAGGTAATTTGCAATGAATTAACTTTTAAAAAATTTCTTAGTGTCTTAGGCTTTAGTCAAACAGAAAAAGAACAAAAGTTCTTTTACAGAGAAGGCATAAGTAGACAATGATCACCAGTTAGGATGTAGGACTGGCACTCTCAAAGCCCATGAGTTTAATGTAAGGGCAGTGGGGGCAAAGGGGCACTAAAAAGAACAGAGAGATAGGAGCAGTTCTCCTGAAAGTAGGGAAGATGAAAAAGCCAACAAATAGGCAGCTATCTTAGCAAGACTGCTGACAACTCAAAAAAATCCCAAAGGTAAGAAAATATCTTTAAGATGCAGAAGGAATTTTAAAAACTAATTTTTAAAAAATGGCTCATAGCAAAATAATTATCTCTGTTCAAAGTGGTTATTTTGTCCTTTGTTTTTCTCTTGGAGGCAGGGTTGGTTGGGTAATGTAAGCCAAATAAAAGCCTTCCGTATTAAAAACAAGAAAACTTTTTGGCCATGAAACAGTAAGGCAGGGCTTTTTGTTTTTGTTTTTGTTTTCAATTTTTAATTTTTGTGGGTACAGAGTAGGTATATATGTTTATGGGTTACATGAGATATTCTGATACAAGCATGTAACATGTAATAATCACATCAGGGTAAAAGGGGTATCTGTCACCTCAAGCATTTATCCTTTCTTTGTGTTACAAACAACCCAGTTATACTCTTTTAGTTATTTTTAAATGTATAGTAGATTATTTGTTGACTGTAGCCATCTTGTTGTGCTATAAATACTAGATCTTATTCATTCTACCTAATTTGATATATAATATCAAATATTTTATTTAGCATACTGCAAAAGTAAAAATTATAAAATGACCATCATTTTGCCCTTTTTGAAACATATTCAGTTACTGAAAAGTTATGATAATAACCTCTACTATCTGTTGAGTGACTGTTAACTGCTAGACACTGTGCTTTGCATATATCATTGCTAATTCTCATGAAACTACTTTCAGGAAGTTATTATTTTTCCTGCTTTACTTATGAGGAAATAGGCTCAGAGGGATTGAGCAAACTTGCCTGAGATCACACAGCTAGTATGTGGTTGAGCTGGTCTGACTCCATGACTTGTGCTCTTTCTATTCTGTTCCTTTCTCATTCAATAGACAAACATGGAAAATATTATAGACCATGGATTTCATTAATCTTTTCCTTTAATTGTAAATACTAAAAATGTTACTTAAAAACTAGAGAACTATAGTATATGATCTACATTGTATAGAATCTGGCCGGACGCCATGGCTTATGCCTGTAATCTCAGCATTTTGGGAGGCTGAAGTGGACAGATCATTTGAAGTAAGGAGTTCAAGACCAACCTAACCAACATGGTGAAACCCTGTCTCTACTAAAATACCAATGTGTATATATACACATATATATATACTTTATATATATATGTGTATATATACACACATACACACATATATATACTTTATATATATAAACTAGGTGCCTAAATGTCGAAGGGCTTTAAAAAGCATATATATATATATATATATATATATATATGCATACTTATAAAGTATATATATATACACGTATATGTATATATATACTTTATATATATATATATAAAATGGCTCATAGCAAAATAATTATCTCTGTTCAAAGTGGTTATTTTATCCTTTGTTTTTCTCTTGGAGGCAGGGTTGGTTGGGTAATGTAAGCCAAATAAAAGCCTTCCATATTAAAAACAAGAAAACTTTTTGGCCACGAAACAGTAAGGCAGGGCTTTTTGTTTTTGTTTTCAATTTTTAATTTATATATACACGTATATATATACTTTATATACATGTATATATATACTTTATATAAGTGTATATATATACTTATATTAAGTGTATATATATATACTTTATATAAGTGTAAAAGTATATATAAAACTTAGTATATATATATATACTAAGTTTTGGGGTACATGTGCAGACCATGTAGATTTGTTACATAGCTATACACGCGCCATGGTGGTTTCCTGCATCCATCACCCCATCATCTACAGTAGGTATTTCTCCTAATGCTATCCCTCACCTACTCCCCCACCCCCAACAGGCCCGGGTGTGTAATGTTCCCCTCCCTGTATCCATGTGTTCTCATTGTTCAACTCCTACCTATGAGTGAGAACGTGTGGTGTTTGGTTTTCTGTTCTTGTGTTAGTTTGCTGAGAATGATGGTTTCTAGCTTCATCCATGTTCCTGGAAAGGAGATGAATTCATCCTTTTTTTGATGGCTGCATAGTATTCCATGGTGTATATGTAGACACCTAATTTTAATAATCCCACTGTTTTCACTTCAATAGGTAAAATCAGGCAGCATCTTTGACAATTTCCTTCTTACAAATGATGAAGAGTTTGCTGAAGAAGTTGGAAATAAGACCTGGGGAATAAGAAAAGTAAGATATTCCCCCACTCTGGATTCCAAATGTCTGACTCCTCAGTTGTTTACTGTTCTTTGCATTTCAAAAATCAGGCACATAGTCTTTGTCTCATTTCTGGTCACTTGGCCCTGAGAGGTGGGAGAAAGAACTCATGTTCACTGGACATCTATAACTTTGCACCTGTGGCTCTGTCAGCGCTTTCCAAAAGTTATCCCACTTAGCCCTAAAAAAACCCAGGAAGACAGATATTATTACTGCTATTTTTCAGATGTAGGAACTGAGATTCAGAGTATAAAGTACCCAGAGTCATCTGCAGCCTTTGACTTGTTGAAGTTTTGCCTTCCCTTTTGAGTCACAAACTATGAGTCTCCTATATTTTTCTTTACAATTTAACTTTTCATGTTTATTATATTTTTAACATGCTAAAGTCTACTCTTATATAGGATGTAGAATTGTTGAAATATGGTAATTATACTATCCAAGCCTTGATGCATCAATTTCTGAGAGGAGGCTATTCAAGTCTTGAGCTACAATTATGCATCTATTTTTCCCTGCAGTTTCTCTCCTTCTCTCTTTTTCTCTCTGTGTATATGTATATGTATATGTATCTACATTTATATCTATATCTGTAAGAGACAGAGTCTTGCTCTGTCTGCACAGAGTGCAGTGGCATTGATCATGGTTCACTGCTGCTTCAAACTCGGCTCAAGCAATTCTCCCACCGTAGCCTCTCGAGTAGCTAGGACTACAGAAGTGCAGAAGTGTGCCACCACACCCAGCTAACTTAAAAACAAAATTTTTTAAACATGGGATCCTGCTATGTTGTCCAGACTGTTTTCAAACTCCTGGCCTCCCATGCTCCTTTTGTGTGTCAGACTGCCTGCTCTAGTGCACTCTAGTGCACTGATCTAGAAGGGAGCTACTGAGCTCATTTTCTTTTTCTTTTTTTTTTTGTTTTCTTTGTTTTGTTTTTTGTTGTTGAGACAGGGTCTTGCTCTGTGGCCCAGGCTGAAGTGTGGGGATAAGAATACAGCTCACTACAGACTCAACCCCCCAGGCTCAAGTGATCCTCCTGCCTCACCCTCCCAAGTAGCTGGGACTACAGGTGCATGCCACCATGCCAGGTTAATTGTTTTTTGAATGTTTTTGTAGAGATGGGTTCTTGCTGTGTTGTTCAGGCTGGTCTTGAGCTCCTGGGCTCAAGCAATCCTCCTGCCTCGGCCTCCCAAAATCTTGAAATTACAGGCGTAAGCCTATTTTCTGATGGATGACTATGAGAAAGAAGGAAGGTGATGCATGCTGTTTACCAGCTTCCCTGCCCTTCTAGAACTATTTTATGGGTGGAGTGATACTTGGGACAATGGCCTCATGACAGTGACAAGCTCTATCCAGATGTCCTGGTTCTGCAGGAAGGTCCATTCAAAACCAGTTTGTGGTCAGTACTTGATTATCCAATAGGCAGATTAAGCTTATGCTTGGAGCACCTGCAAAAACACAGGCCAAAAAAAAGAGTTGTTTTTTTTTAAAGAACTTTGAGACTTAATATTTCCTTTAAAAAAACAAAATTCAAGGGCCAGGTGTGGTGGCTCAGCCTGTAATACCAGCACTTTGAGAGGCTGAAGTGGGTAGATCATTTGAGGTTAGAAATTCGAGACCAGCCCGGCCAACATGGTGAAACCCTGTCTCTACTAAAAATATAAAAATTAGCCAGGCGTGGTGTCCTGTGCCTATAATGCCAGCTACTCAGGAGGCTGAGCCAGGAGAATCACTTGAACCTGGGAGGTGGAGGTTGCAGTGAGCCAAGATCAGGCCACTGGATTCCAGCCTGGGTGATGGCATGAGATATCGTCTAAAAAAAAATTGAAGTGGTCATTCTGGGAAAAATTATTAGACCTTCTAATACTTCTTAGTCTGATTTTGTTTTGTTTTACTTTAGTACTATATTTAAAGTTGTTTTGTGAAGGCACTTTTTCATATTGATTAAGGGTTTGAATTTTAGAGCTAGACTGCTTGAGTTCAAATCCAGGCTCCATTATTTAGTAGTTTTATGAATTTAGGCAAGTTATTTCACCTCTCTTCATCAAGTGGAGAATAATGATAACCTCTATCTTATAAGTTTCTGGTATAAAATAAGTGCTCAATACATGGTAGCTATTATTATTAAGTCTTATATTCACTTTACAAGTTCTTGAGTACCTGTTCAAAGCACTGTTATAGACACTGGGGATACAGCAGAGAAATAAAATAGAGAAGCTTCTACCTTCATGGGACTTACTTTCAGTTTGGGGCGACCAACAAGAAATGTATAAGGAAGTCCGAACCTCAGATCCCTCATCTAGAAAGTAGAACAAGTAACATACCTCATACATTGCTGTGAGGAATATAAATAATGTGTGTAGATTGCCTGTTACAGCACCATGGTTAGCAATGCAGTAGGCATTCAATAAATGTTTGATGAATTGGAACCAATTTTATTTATGAACAAACTACACACACACACACACACACACACACACTTCTATTCACCCTACACATACTGAAACTTTGTATGTAAATAAACACTATCCCAGAAATCTTAAGACTGTGGGAAGGCTGGGCACAGTGTCTCACGCCTGTAATCCCAGCACTCTGGAAGGCTGAGGTGGGTGGATCTCCTGAGCTGAGGAGTTCAAGACCAGCCTGGGCAGCATGGCAAAACCCTGTCCCTACAAAAAAAAAAAAAAAAAAAAAAAATTAGCCAGGCATAGTGGTGTGTGCCTGTGGTCCCAGCTACTTGGGAGGCTGAGGTGGGAAGACCACTGAGCCCAGGAGGCAGAGGTTGCAATGAGCCAAGATGGTGCCACTGCACTTGAACTTGGGTGACAGAGCAAGATCTTGTCTCAAGAAAGAAAGAGAGAGAGAAGAAGAAGAAAGAAAGAAGAAGAAAGAAAGAAAGAAAGAAAGAAGAAAGAAAGAAAGAAAGAAGAAAGAAAAGAAAGAAAGAAAGAAAGAAAGAAAGAAAGAAAGAAAGAAAGAAAGAAAGAAAGAAAGAAAGAAAGAGAAAGAAAGACTGACTATTGGAAGACCAGATATTTCTATTGGTTAATTTTGTTTATACTCTCTGTAAGTTATTTTGAAATTCTACATTCTAAACAGGACCTAGAGAAGCAATGGTGAGAACTGTATGAAGAAATTGAAAAAAGAAAGTAGGCAGAAGAGGCTAAGAAGAAAAAGGAAAAGGAGAAAGAAGAGGAAGATGACATTTGGGGAATTGAAGAAGAGGGAAATGAATTGTATCTCACTGCAGAGCCAGGAAATGACAGGCAGATGCAGGAATATGATGCTGACAGGGCATTTCTGGGTAAAAATGAAGAAGTCCTTGTTGACCAGAAGGATGAACTATAATTGGGATTGTGGAGGCAAATGTTAGGAGGAGAAATATTCATGAGGTTGGTATAATTTGGGGAGCAAAATAACTTATTTTTTGAAATAAACTTTGGATTTGCATTTCCATCCCACTCCCTTTGCTCTGTGTGATCTGGAGAAAGCCACATTGCCTCTTGAGGCTTCTATTTCCTTATTAGTGGAAAGGGAATGATCATTTCTCTTTTATGAGGTTGTAGGGATTAAATGAACTAATGTATGTAAAGTGCCTGATATAAATATGTAGTGAAAATATGGTTGCTAGCACTACTATCATTATTATGGTGTTTATGAAATTAGTTATCAGTAAATTAACTTCTGTATAAACTTAATCCTCACTTTCAATTTATCCCAGGACACTCAGGGATTTTATTTTGTTTAAATGTATGGGGCCAGGCGTGGTGGCTCACACCTGTAATTCCAGCACTTTGGGAGGCGAAGGTGGGTGGATCACCTGAGGTCAGGAGTTTGAGACTAGCCTGCCCAACATGGTGAAACCCTGTCTCTACTAAAAATAGAAACAATTAGCTGGGCTTGTGGTGGGCACTTATAATCGCAGCTACTCGGGAGGCTGAGGCAGGAGCATTGCTTGAACCCAGGAGGTGGAGGTTGCAGTGAGCTGAGATCATGCCATTGCACTCCAGCCTGGGCAACAAGAGTGAAACTCTGTTTCAAAAAAAAAAAAAACAAAAATAAAATACAAAATAAATGCATGTATTAGTATTTACTGAGCAGTGCTGATGGTTATACTTGTGGACAGATGATGTTTTCCTCTTGCACATGTATCAAGTACTTCACAACTAGATTTCATCCTAATATAAGAAAAAACACTTTGTGAAAATCCATTTGCTTTTCTGCTGTTTTGTACCCTAACTTTTAAATAATTGTCACTTGTTTGCATGTTTGCTAATCCCATAATTATTTTTTTCTGTGCTACCTGCTCACACATCATCATGCAGATTCTTGTAGCTCTTTATAGATTGGAAAGCACTTTGCCATAAATTCATGGAGCTTCTATGATGTGCTCATCTAATCCTCATAGCAGCCATTGTAGAGGATACCATTCTTATCTTCATTTTACAGATGCAGAAACTGCTCAGAGTGGGTAAGTCACTTGCTCAAGGTCAAACAGCTAGTAAGGGAAAGGACCAGAGTCTTGAGCTTGTCTGGTTTCAATGTTTATACTTCCATAAAACAATAACTCAAAGCACTATAAAAGAAAACAGTTTATCCTTCCACTGCACCAGGCTGCGGAATGAGTGAGTGAATACCTATTGCTACAGAAAACATAAAGTAGGCAACACTCCACATGGAAAAAAAATGCCTTTTTAAGTGTGTTTTGTTTTGTTTTGAGATAGAGTCTTGCTCTGTTGTCCAGGCTGGAGTGCAGTAGCATAATTACTGCAACCTCTGCCTCCAGGGTTCAAGTGATCCTCCTGCCTCAACCTCCTGGTAGCTTGGGACTGCAGGTGACCACAACTGGCTAATTTTTATATTTTTAGTAGAGATGGTATTTAGCCGTGTTGGCCAGGCTGGTCCCTTACTCCCGACCTCAAGTAATCTGCCCATTTCAGTCTCCCAAAATGCTGGAATTACAAGCATTAGCCAGTGTACCTGGCCTTCAAGTGTATTTTTAAATGATTGTATTCAGCAGCCACAGAGTCGGACCCACAGATATGGCTGTCATGTAGTTCAGTAAATGATAAGCCAGGGCTACAAATAGGACCTGCAACGTAGCAGATGCCCAGTAAAAATTAGTTGAAAAAATGAACAAAACTCTGCCTCGTGGTTTTGGTGGTTTGAGAAAAGACTTAATGAAGGAAGTGACTTTTGAGGCAAATCTTAAAGAATGCATGAGTATGCATCTTTTGGGAAGGTTAAAAAAAAGAATGCATGAGTCTGCTCAAAGGAAAAGGGGATGTGTGGACCAGATTTTAGAGTCAAAGAGCAGAGCACCAGACAGGAAGTAGGGTGCTGAGGTCAGGGAGGAGCAGCAAGAACTTCTTCCTTCCTCCCTGTAGACTGGTGCCTGGTGTGGTTTCTAGATCTTACAATCTTTGGAATATTTTGGTTTGGAAAACTTGACTTTATACCTATTCCTACAGCCTAAGAGTCTTTCTGTTGTGAAAAAGAGCTAAGCTTCAAGGGCTGAGTCTAAATATTTTGTTTTGGGGCTGGAGGACTGGTGTGGATAGTGATCCATATTTTAGGGATGCCAGTCTGATATAAGCATTGTTTACTATAAATGTCTGCTCTGACTTTGGGAGGCTGAGGTGGGCAAATCATGAAGTCAGGAGTTCAAGACCAGCCTGGCCAACATAGTGAAACCCCGTCGCTGCTAAAAATAGAAAAATTGGCCAGGTGTGGTGGCTAACACCTGTAATGCGGCACTTTGCGAGGCCGAGGCAGGTGGATCTGAGGTCAGGAGTTCGGGAACAGTCTGACCAACATGGTGAAACCCTGTCTCTACTAAAAATACAAAAGTAGCCAGGCGTGGTGGCATGCACCTGTAATCCCAGCTACTTGGGAAGCTGAGGCAGGAGAATTGCTTGAACCCAGGAGGTGGAGGTTGCAGTGAGCTGAGATCATGCCATTTGCACTCTAGTCTGGGCAGCAAGAGTAAAATTCCATTAAAAAAAAAATTAGCTGGGTGTGGTGGTAGGTGCCTGTAGTCCCAGCTGCTTGGGAGGCTGATGCAGGAGAATTGCTTGAACGTGGGAGGCAGAGGTTGCAGTGAGCCGAGATTTTACCACTACACTCCAGCCGGGCGACACAGAAGAACTCTGTCTCAAAAAAAAAAAAAAAAAAGAAAGCCCGCTCTGATTGCTCAGGTGTATGCTCTACCAATTGTTACATATTTTCAGTATCACCAGATAAAGATATTTTCAGGCAGGATTTTGTAATCCTTGTTTACAGTAAGGATTCATTTGAATGTATTTTTAGATCTGCTACTCTCACCTTTGATAAATTTTCTTTTGCCTTTTATTTTTATGGATTGTGCATACACTATTTCAGAAATTATGGTAGGCCAGGCACGGTGGCCCACACCTGTAATCCCAGCACTCTGGGAAGGATCACTTGAACACAGGAGTTGCAGACCAGCCTGGGCAACATAGTAAAACCCTATCTCCAAAAAAAATTTAAAAATTACCTGGGCATGGTGGTGCATGCTCATAGTCCCAGCTACTTTGAGGTTAGAGGATTACTTGAGCCCAGGAGATCGAGTCTTCAGTGAGCTGAGATGATGCCACTGTATTCCAGCCTGTGCAACAGAGCAAGACCTTGTCTCAGAACAAAACAAAACACAAAACCAGGCAGGGCATGGTGGCTAACATCTGTAATCTCAGCACTTTGGGAGGCTGAGGTGGGAGGATCACTTGAGCCCAGGAGATCAAGACCAACCTGGGGAGCACAGCAAGACTCTGTCTCTAAAAAACCAAAATTAAAAGAAAACCCAAAACAAACAAAAAGAAATGGTAATTTCAACAAGAAAAAAATGCATGCATAATTTCTACCCATTCTGCACATAGATTTTGATATTTTTTGTTTCTTTCCAGGATACAACTTTTGAACACCACCATTCTGCCACTGAGCCATACTCCTCCAGATGGATTTTTAAAAAATTGTGATTGTAATTTAATTTTGAAAATTAATAGATATTCAGTGTAGAAACCTGGAGTCAACATATGTATTAGGAAGAAAGTTATAAGTCAAGATGGGGTAAAGAAAAAAACAGGAAAAAAAAATATAAGGAAGAAAGTGAATATTATTATTGTATAATATACAATATTATTGTATTTCCTTCCAGTTTTGAGGATTTAATTAATCACACTACTTAGTACATGGTACTTTATCATCTTTGGTTGGTGACAATGTCACTTCTAAATTTTATTATATATATATAAATTTGAGAAAGAACCTCACTCTGTCATCCAGACTAGAGTTGTAGTGGTGCAATTTTGGCTCACTCACTGCAGCCTTGACCTCCCTGGCTCAAGGCGATCCTCCTACCTCAGCTTCCTGAGTAGCTGTGACTACAGCTGCAGCTGCACACTACCATACCCAGCTAATTTTTGTATTTTTTAGTAGAGTTGGGGTTTCATCATGTTGCCCAGGTTGGTTTCAAACTCCTGGGCTCAAGTGATCCACCTGCCCTGGCCTCCCAAAGTGCTGGGATTCACAAGTAAACCACAATGAGCAACTTATTTGTTTATTTTTTTCTCTTATTCCCTTTCTCTTCCCTGCTTAGACAACTAAGTTTTATTTAAAATTTTTTATTTAATTTTTGTATCTGTTATTTTTATTTGTATCTGTTCTTTCAAAAAGTGCATTTTTGTATGAATGTATTTTTAATTTTTGTAAATAGCATAATGTTTTAATCTCATTTTGTTTCTTCATCTTTTTCACTGAGCACTGTTTTAAAATGCATTCATGTTGCTGTGTATGCAGCTAATCCATTGCATTTGATTGTTGCATGATACTTTACAACATCTACCATATTTTAGCTATCTAGTCTCTGTATGATAGCCAGGTTGCCTTTGAGTCCCCACCACCACACAATGAATATTTTAATGCAGAACTCCTATATGCCTGCATAAGAATTTCTTTGGGATATATCCCAGAAGTTGAACTGCAAGCTCATAGAGTATATGAGTCCTACATTTGCATATTTTATGTCAGATTGTGCTCCACAAAGGCTGTACCAGTCCATACTCCCACCAGAGTTCCAGCATCCCCGCAACTCCACCAGCTGGCATCAAGCATTTTAATTTCTTTAGCTTAGTAAATGTAAAAGAATAGTACGTTGCTGTTTTCATTAGCATTTCTGTGGTACTTTGGGCATCTCTTTATATGCCTTTTGATTTTTGGAATTACTCTCTGTTTATATCTTTTTTTTTTTTTCTGGTGATAATGTTTGTGCCAACTATTTGTATATTTTGCTTTTTTTTCCCCTAAGGTTTGCTGCCCTCTTATTTATTCACCAGAGATTTGTGTGTTTCGTATTTCAAAAATATTCTCCCATTCTCTTATCTAGTTATGTTGCCTCTTATCTAGTTATTTTGTTCAACAATGTTCTTTGTTGGGCCGGGCACAGTAGCTCACGCTTGTAATCCCAGCACTTTGGAGGCTGAGGTGGGTGGATCATGAGGTCAAGAGATCAGATCATCCTGGCCAACATGGTGAAACCCCATCTCTACTAAAAAATACAAAAATTAGCCGGGTGTGGTGGCACACACCTGTAGTCCCAGCTACTCGAGAGGCTGAGGCAAGAGAATTGCTTCAACCTGGGAAATAGAGGTTGCAGTGAGCTGAGATTGCACCACTGCACTCCAGCCTGGCACCTGGTGACAGAGCAAGACTCTGTCTAAAAAAAAAAAATTGTTCTTTGTTGAACAGAAATTCTTAATTTTAATGTCATTATATCCATTAATACTTTTTTCTTACAGACCAGGTGTGGTGGCTCACTCCTGTAATCCTAGCACTTTGAGAGGCCAAGGCAGGCAGATTGCTTGAGCTCAGGAGTTTGAGACTAGCCTAGGCAACACGGTGAAACTCTATCTACCATAAATACAAAAAATTAGTCAAGCATGGTGGCACATACCTGTAGACCCAGTTACTACTTGTGGGGGCTGAGGTGGGAGAATTGCTTGAGCCCAGGAGGTTGAAGCTGTAGTGAGCCGAGATTGTGCCACTGCATTCCAGCCTGGGTGACAAAGTGGAGCCTGTCTCAAAAAAAAAATTGTCTTATAGTTTGTGCATTTGAAGTTTTGCCTTCCCTTTCCAGTCATAAACCATAATTATCTCATATATTTTATGTGTAATTTTGCTTTTCACATTTATTATGATTTATTTGTTTTTTATTTTGCTTTTTGTTTTGTTTTGTTTTGTTTTTGAGATGGAGCCTTGCTCTGTCACCAGGCTGGAGTGCAATGGCACAATCTCGGCTCACTGCTACCTCCACCTCCCAGGTTCAAGTGATTCTTCTGCCTCAGCCTCCTGAGTAGCTGGGGCTACAGGTGTGCACCATCACACCCAGCTAATTTTTGTATTTTTAGTCAAGACAGGGTTTTACCATGTTGGCCAGGATGGTCTCGATCTCTTGACCTTGTGATCCACCCACCTTAGCCTCCCAAAGTGTTGGGATTATAGGTGTGAGCCACTGCGCCCAGCCCACATTTATTATGTTTTTAACCCTCCTAGAGTTTACTCTTATAGGATATAGAATTGTTGACATATGGTAATTATACTATTCAAGCATTGGTACATCAGTTTCTGAGAGAGGGATGTTAAAGTCTTCAGCTACAATTATGCATTTCTCGATCTTTCTCTGCAGTTGTTTTACGTGTTTGTGTGTGCATAGCTGAAGTGCAGTGACATGATCATGGCTCACTGTGACCTCAAACTCCTGGGCTCAAGGGATCCTCCGACCTCAGTCTGTTGAGTAGCTAGGACTACAGAATTGTGCCACCATACTGGTTAATTTTTATTTTATTTTTTATAGAGATGTGGTCTTGCTATGGCGCTTGTCTTGAACTACTGGCCTTAAGTTATCTTCCCAACTCGGCTTCCCAGAGCACTGGGATTATAGGTGTGACCCACTGCACCTGGCTCAGTTCTGTGTATATGTATGTATGTATATATATGTATTTTTTTTTTCGAGACAGAGTTTTGCTCTTGTTACCCAGGCTGGAGTGCAATGGTGTGATCTCGGCTCACCGCAACCTCCGCCTCCTGGGTTCAGGCAATTCTCCTGCCTCAGCCTCCTGAGTAGTTGGGATTACAGGCACGCACCACCATGCCCAGCTAATTTTTTTTTGTATTTTCAGTAGAGACGGGGTTTCACCATGTTGACCAGGATAGTCTCGATCTCTTGACCTCATGATCCACCCACCTCGGCCTCCCAAAGTTCTGGGATTACAGGCATGAGTCAAGTTTTGTATATTTTTAATTTTTTGAAACAAGGTCTCACTCCTGTCACCCAGGCTCAGGTGATTGTCCCACTTCAGCCTCTCAAGAAGCTGGAACTACAGTTGTATGCCACCATGCCTGGATAACTTTTTTTTTTTTTTGTATTTTTAGTAGAGATAGGGTTTCCCCATGTTTGTCCAGGCTGAGTTCTGTATATTTTAAGACTGTATGATTAGGTGCATCTATGTGTTTTGCCTGCTGTATCTATATATTTTTCTATCATTCCTTTTAAGAAAAAATAATGACTTTTAATCTCATCTTTTGAAACTAAAATTCCTCTTTGACAGGTACTAAGATCACAACCCAGTTCACATTTGCCTGGTTTGTCTTTTTATTTTTAATCTATCTCTTTATGTTTGAAGTATGTATCTTTGACAGACATGGTGATTCATGTCTGTAATCCACGCACATTGGGAGGTCAAGGCAGGCAGATCACTTGAGTTCAGGAGTTTGAGACAAGACTGGCCAACATGGTGAAACCTTGTCGCTACTAAAAACACAAAAATTAGCTGAGTGTGGTGGTGGGAACCTGTAATCCCAGCTACTTGGGAGGCTGAGACAGGAGAATTGCCTTAACCTAGGAGGCAGAGGCTGCAGTGAGAGAGGTCAGGCTACTACTCCAGCCTGGGCAGCTCAAAAAAAAAAAAAGAAAAGTATGTCTCTTAAAGTCAGTTTATTGTTGGATGTAATTTTTAAAAATCCTATTGGTAAGATTCACTTATTTACATTTTATGTTATTATTATATATTAATATTTAGTTCTATCCTCCATTTACTGTATATTCTTTTTATTTTAATCTCCATTTCTGCTTTTCATTAAATAGGCTGAATTATCTTCTGCTGGTTTAAAATTTATAAATAACATTGTTTTCCTATGGTGGTGGCCCTTAACTTCAGATTCACACCCATGGGCTTAAGAGAGCTTCTCCCTCTCTACCATTTGAACAAAAGCCCACACAAAAGTTGAAGTTTGATTCTCAAAGAGTCAGGTGTGGATTGAATCAATGTTGCTAAGCAAGGGGTATTTGATCTTCAAAGGAAACACAGAGGGCCAGTCCTAAAAGAAGGGTAAATGGAGGCTAAGAGATTGGAAAATGGTATATGTTCACATCTTTTTTTTTTTTTTTCTTGTGACACTATAATCCTGGGGCAAGGATTCCTGGCCCAAATTCTGAAGACATAAGGTCAGGAGAGGAATAATAGTTTCTCCAAGGAAACAGATCAACTTAATGTACATCAGAGATGAGGAAGAACCTGCACTTAAACTAGTCACAATGGTCACAATGTAGCAGAA